CTTAACTAAAAACAAACAAACATCAGCCCAGATATTGAGACCTAATATCAAAACGTACTATAACATTTAGTGTTTGTCAATTTTAGGATTGAAATTCTGAGCAAATGAACAACAGTATTTTATGTTTGTAATTCGTAAAATGACCAGGCTTATATATTTCAGAATATTTTCTATAATCAGATTGTAACTATTTTTCAAAGGTTCGTTTTACAAGCTTCTTCGAATTAATTTTATATGATTACTGATTCCTATTGTAGATTCCCACTTATAGGACAACTTTGTCAATCATAAATCACATAATCTTAAAAATTAAATTTATGCATATTTTTCAGGTTTATACATTTCTATTGCTTTTTCCGTATAGAGACTGTGGCATCGTGTCCGAAAATCGTTCTAAATAACTCATTATCACGTGGTAAAATTTTAGCCCTTAATTCGCAAAGCTTTTTTTTTTTCGTTCACGATACTTTTTAATATATTTCACAAATGGTAGCATCCGCAAAGTAACAAACACCCAGAAAAGAGTAGAATTAAACAAGATTTTGGCCTTGTCATCTACTTGTATGCTTGTTCCCGCAAGAGAACTAGTTGTGTTTGTTTGGTTTAAAGATTAGAACTTTGTTAAATCAGCTCTTTTTTGAATTATCGAATCCTGTTTTTTATTGTTGGGTGAAGTATACAACCTTACTCGGTTTTTACGAAACATTGACAAACACAATCAACTATTAATAGCCACACTCAAGAATATAATCAAAATTTTATAACTCGGCAAAACGTACGTAAGGTACATTAATATTTGATGACACGCGGGAAATAATCTGAGAAAGTTTAGTTTTATTAAATATTCAGTCAAAACCCTTGTATTTAAAACGATGTCAAATGTAACCCTTATAAACTTGATTCATTACTATAAATCTAGATTTATAGGCTATAATAGCTATATCGATTTTTTTCCGTATGTTAAGTTCTTTCATGTAGTTGCTACCAAAGACGTCATTACTTTGAATGGTTATTATACATTTCAAATCTACACCATTCTTGTCAATAAAGAAATAAAATAATTTCATACGACTAATGTAAAAGTTCAAGTCCCTTAAAGTTATTTATTTCGCAAATAATTGTCCCCCGATGGGTCAGCGGTAAGTTTCGGATTTACGGTGTTAAAATCCGGGGTTCGATTCCCCGTGGTGAACAGAGTGCAGATACCTCATCGTGTAGTTTTGCGTTAAAAAACCAACGATAATAAGCTAACATAATTTTGATAAAGACTAAGCTGTATTTTATTTCTGAAATGATACGGTATTGTAATTCATTTCTTAAATTTTGTTGCGGATCACATTCATTCATATATTATACAAACAAATCGTTGCATCATTTCACTTAGTCATTTTGTGTAATTTTTGGTTTACAATAAGACATGTTAGTAAAATCCTTCAGTTTAGTTTACTGTAATGCGCTTTGTAAAAATTAACATGAGTAAAAACGACTAGCATAATAACAGAGAGAGATATATTTTCACATTTTATGTCATCGTGTGAAGAATAAATCCAGTCTCAGCTTTAAACAACAATAAAGAAAATTTAATAAAAATGACAGGCTACACGAAACAAATTAATTTTTAATGGTTTATATATTTAAGTGTCAAAAATAAGTAGAAAGGTTTAACATATACCAGTCAAGCATATCATTCAAATTAGTGAGAAAAAATGATTTTTCACGTGATATCTAGAAAAATAAAAGTAGTTTTTTTGTGAGTGGAAGTAACTTTTTCTCATACGTTAATAGGTTAGATAAAGTTTTGCTTTTATTATTAAATAGCTTCTTTTATTACAATTTTATTTAGAACGTCACTAAACAAAATATATGAAGTGGATGTTACAGAGGTTTGAGTGTATTTAAAATTGTCAACACATTTGTTTGTGAGAAAAGTATCATCATTAGTCATTGTTTACTGATACACATGGAAAATTTGTCACGCCAGCTAAATTATTGTGTTGGTTGAAATCCCAAAACGCAGTACACATTGTGAAAGTTTTTATCGCAATAAAAGTTATCGAATCAAAATTTAATTATGTTCTCACATGGGTTATAATTAAATTTAAAACTACCGGTAGATGGCACTATATACATATATATATATATATATATACTTACTTTTTTTCTTTACTAATATGCTTGCATTGTTTAAATCAAGTTAGGAAACGGAAGAAATTTACCAAATTGGTGATATATAACTGAATCACATTTTTTAACAAGTCAAAAGCAAATATTTTTGTTCCAACTCAACCTGTTATCGCGAATTTATCAACAGACATCAGCTATGTATTCTGATACTACGTGCAATCCACCTGAACCTATTGACTGATATAATCAGATGGATAAAATATAGTTGAAAATGCCTCGAAAAAGATATAAATAATCAGTGCATCTGTCAGTCATATTATAAACTTGTATTGTTAAATTATAGTAGTTTATTGAGTGAAGTAAAGTTTACGTATTATGCCTAATGATTCTATTGAATAATTATTAATCATTGAACTCTTTAATTAGTACGTAACATATAATTGTTTAACACAATCATCGTGTGAAAATGTCCTCACTACAGTGTAAAATGTTTAATGAATAATAACCGAGCTGCTAAACAAGTAATCACTATATCAAGTCCTGTGATACGTGTTGGCATGTCAAATATTTATAATACAAATAAAATAGATAACCCAAATAGTTTTATGGCGTTGCGTAACTGACGACTTCCTCAATATTATAGGAACAACTTACTTTGTATTCATTTCACAGAGTATCACTTTTTGAACATTTTTAGCGGTTGTGGATATATTTACTGCAAACTTCTTGGTGTGGATTGATGGAGTTCTCGTAATAGATAACATTTTCTGTACGTAATTTATATGTATGTTCCTCGGTGAACCAACGGTTTATGGATTTACAACACTAAAATCCGAAGTTCGATACCCCGCAATAAACAAAGTATGTATGTATATGATTCCAACTCAGTGCACATAAGAAGTTAGTTTCAAATATCCAGCTAGTATAAAAACGCGTTTCTCTCTCTCGACAAACTTAATTAAATATGTAATATCATGATCTTAACCGTCTTTTGTAGAGTTAATAACGTATACCGTACGAAAATATTCAACTGAATATTGTAATATGCTATTTTCTGTTCGATCTTTTTCATTTTCCTTTGTAAATATATATATATAATATGTATTTATCCTTTATTCCTATCGATTCTGAATTAAAATATTATAAAAAAACCGCGTATCAAAATGAAACCGAAAATATGAAATATGGCTTACTGATCAAGCACCTCATTGTCTTTTTACCAAGTTTGACAGAAAAAATAATTTAAGTTTACTGCATAACTTTAACGTTCAAGTTAAGTGTGTTACTACAGATATATTCTAAACTAGTTATGAAGGGGTGAAAGTAACTGGTACTTTAACTATGACACAGACTAATGCTAATATTTAGAACACAAGTGGGAAAAAGATAAGAGTTATGGGGAAAATGTTTCTTGTATCAGGAAAAAGGATGAAAGTAAATTTTAATTTGACAGTAGAAAATGTAGTTAGCTCCATTGAGTTTTGTTACCTTCAGATTTGTCATTTCTCTTTTTTAGAACCATAATTTTTTTTTCCAACTTTACCTTCCTGGAAATACTAACCATCTATTTAAACTTACATAATATGTAGGGGATTAAAAATAATAATATCAAATGGTAAAACTGCTGATTTAAATATAGTCTTCTGAATTTTCATGGTGCTATAAGCTAAATCAGAACCTTTTTATTGATTTCAAACATTTTATATCAAATTTATCATAGCTGGTGATGTGAACTGTTTCGAACTTGTTTCAAGATGTGATGAAGTAATTTGTACCAGCGTTGTTTAAAGTGTATTTTTTCTGGTAAAAGAAAATGAGAAGACATTGGGAAGGACTTTTGCCATCTTGGAAGTTGTTTTCTGTGGATTATATTCTGTGGTCTAATTGCATCTTTACAAAACAAAATTGAATTAATGTGACCTTTTAATGTTAAAATGCTAGTTATATAAAAATTGATTTGCAATGGTAAATATTTGCCCTTGTTACTAAGTTTTGAAATTATTAAGATGTTTAGGGTATAAGAATGTTTTTTTTGGACCTAATGTAACAATTTACATAATTTGAAGTGTACATATTTATTTACTACTATTTTTATGAGAGCCAATATGGTGTATTTTGCACTATTCTTGTAAGCAGGTTTTTATGTTGTGGTAAAGTTCTAAGAACATATATATATATATATGACAATGGTTATTAAAAATGATGATAATGTTGTGAATTTATCTTTTTCTTGTCACATTTACGTTTTTAGGTAGAAAATGCACAAGTGTTGGAGTTAGGCAAGCTGAAATGAGGTATAATACAGAACAAAAATCCACAGCAGCCAATGAATAATATTTCTAGCTGGAGTAATATAGCACACTTGATATCTAAATGATAACTTGTGAAGAAATACTTGTTGTTTTTTTTTCATTCTTCTGATTCTCTCCTTTTGTTTATAGTGTACTTGTGGTATATTCAACAGGAGATTCAATAACTTCTTTATCCCAGAATAACACTGAAAATCCAAATAATTGAGTTCATAAGAAAATAAAGAAACTGCATACAAAATAAACAGTCTTTATTAAAACAGACTTAACATGAACACAGTGTGTATACTTGCTTTTATGGGATGAGAGACTGTCCCTTTTACTTGATTCTCTATTTTATCTCACAGATTGCTTAATTTATCAAAATTTGTGCCAGACTTTTTCAATTAAATGCACCATAAATGAACTTAATGACTTTCTTGACCACTTATATAGAATCAAATATAAATTCAGAGTAAACACTATAATAATACAAAAATATATAAATACACAGTATATTTATATACCACATACTGGACTAACTTCACCGAAATGTGAGAGGGGTTTTAAAAACCTATAAGTTTAGTACTTTTCCTTTTCTGTCCTTTTTATAAACAGTTATTATGATTCTAAAATGTACTAAAATATCTTAACAAGTTTATCAGTATAAATATATTTTCACTATCATTCATGTTTTACAGCTTTAGTGACAAAGAACAAACCAAAACTCTTTCACAGACACTATCTTGACATCACCAGCAGTTATTCATTAGCAATTTCACTAGCTTTAATATCATTCAAGTTCACTAGGTAAAGTAAGTATTGTTTAGCCTGAGTGATCTATTTTTTTTCCTGATAATTACAATTTAAATGTCAGAATTTAGCTGTTCTTGTAGAGAAAACAAAGTATTTTTTCCCATATCTGAAAGAAAGATGTGATGCAGTACCCAATAATGTTTTAAATGAAGGCAAAAATAAATTTTGAACTTGTAGTCCTTGAAGATGAAATCTACACTGCTTTGCGTGAAGAACCAGCAATACTCCAGAGATGCTTTTGGATCCATAGAAAGTTCGTCTATCAATCAAATTCAGAAACTTTGTTAATAACCAGTCCATTACGTCTTCAAAGAAAAGAAATATCATTCATGGACAGCAGTAATGATGATGATAGACATTTCTCCAAACTGAAAATGTGGCTTGAAAATAGGTTACACATTTCACAGAGACTAATTTGTTCTGTGCACTGGAATGAAGGACTTGTAAAACCTAAAGAATCCTCTGAACATGCCAAATATATCAACAATGTTTGCCAGAAAGTAAAAGAAATAGTTGGAGATATGATTGATAAAATCATTAAGAAAGATCTTGAAGAGGGATTCAGTGAATATTATAGAGGTAAAAGGGATTAAGTAGTATCATTAAATATATTTTATTAAAAAACTGCCCACACAAAGTATTGATATGAATGTTTCCTAGATTTTTCTGTTATTAAGTTGTAATAATAAATTAGAAATTAAAGAAAGAGAAGTCTCATACAGAATATTAAGTTGATGTCTTCTTATTCCCTCTCAAAGAAATGTGTTATCGTTATTGAAAATCTGAGAAGCACATAGAACTGAACTAGACACTTGTCATTAATAGCTTGTTACTATTTAGTCTTTTTTCTATGTTTGCTGTCTTTAGCTTTCAGAATTAAATGTGTTGATGATGAGTCATATAGTACTTTGAATGTGGTCTCAGGGGCCAGACAATTCCCATCTTTGAAAAAGATGTTTCATGACTTTATTCAAATAATACAAAAATAGGTAAAAAACACGAAGCAATTAAACCTCAGAGTAAAAAAAAAGAAGCTCTATTTTTATTTATTTATTTTAAGTTTTATGTTTTGTGATTAGGAGGCAATCAGAATTGCCTTGTGGGTCAAATACAGCCCATTGAGCAGTCAGTTGGACAACTCTGATGTTCATGAAACCTATAAAGTTCTTTTTTTTTCAAACAAGCCGAGGTACCCACGTTCTTTGTCTGTGTTATGAACTTTAAAAAATGTATGGTGGATGCTATGATAAGTAACAAAAAAATCCTAACTTTCACATAATTTATTTATAACATAACATAATAGTTATTATAGTATTCATTATTAAGTCACCAAAAGTTTTGTATAAGATTTAAGAACTCAATATGTATATACTTAAAACAATGTATACACTGTACGATGGTCAGGATGACTTTGTGGGAAGTGGTAGTGGCAATAGTAGTGGAGGTAGGGGTGCTTTCTGTTACCCACTTTCAACACCAACTTCTTAATATCCTTCCACAATGTTTCATGTGATTAATTAATAGATGATTCATTGGCCACAGAATTGTCTTACGAGCCGAAGTTGAAAGGTAATGGGTCAAAGTTTGAAGTTGGTATAACTCAAAAAATGACTTTTCATATCAGCCTTATGCTGACTTTTGGAGTATTAACCTCAGCTGAATTTATATATTATTGCAATATTGGCAGATTTTTTGTCATTGCATTACTCCATAGCAAACTCTGTGAGATATATAAGATGTTTGTATGTGTGTTTTATTATGGAAAATTTGATAAAGTTTTTCTTTTCAGTGTAAGGACATGGCACCATCTATTAATGTAGGTAATATTAACTTATGTCAAAGATAATAAATGCTCAATAACAGCAATAATGGAGGGTGGAGGGGTTGTGAATCCCTTTATTCCAAACGTCATCCCACAAAGTTTAGTTGAGATTGGCCCAGTGATGTAGGAGTAGTTATATAACAGACAGATACACACAGGTTTTTATGCTTTATATATATATATACAGTATTAATTTGAAAATACTTTTTTGTAGGTATTGAAAATTCCCTTTATGCTGAACTGTGTGAACAAACAAAAAGTTGTCGGCTTCATCAGCAGTATGTCAGTGGATGCCAGGCACTTCTAAGTGCTATCCACAAGTACTTAACTTCCAATTCCTGCCACCCATTAATTATTTATGGAGAGTCAGGTTGTGGCAAGACTTCACTGCTAGCTAAGACTGTTGCTCTTTGCCCCATTTGGGTTCCTGATTTGGCTGTGGTCTTCAGGATGGTTGGAACCTCTCCAGACTCAAGAACAGTTGAAAGACTGTTGATCAGTATCTGTAAACAATGTTGCATCTTATATGATGAACCAACCTTTCTAGCAATAAAGGTAGGCTGCTTAGAAGTTTTATGCTCATTGTTTTTCATTTTATATTAGAATATTAAATCACTCCTTCCATGAACAGTTATAACTGAATTATATGCATCACGTTTGAGTATATTGAAAAAACTTTATACATTGTACATTTTCTGCTTCATAGGGGGAAAATGTGATAAAAACTGTAAGTATTTTGGGAAACAATTTTTTTTTATGATAAAGTAAATTTTTTTACTTTAGAAACTTATGTTTCTGTTGTATCTGTTCTAATACTTTTCCAACTAAAAAAAATTTTCATGCATTAGAAATTTAAGTTTTTGTTTGGACAAGAATTTGAACAACAAAATGAAGTTAGAATATTTCATGCTTTTTTTATTAATTCATTAAATATTTATTGTTTGTTTGTATAAATATCAAATAAGGTTAACTTTAACTTCAGGTAAATCATCATTTTATTGATGGATATGACATCCGTTGTAAAGATTAGTTGACATTTTTTCTGTGTACTTGGAGAAAAGTATCTGTGTAGAACAACCAGACTAGAAAGTTAGTGATCAAAGCAAAAATATTGTTACTAGTTGTGGCATAATGTTTTTTTAAAGAAAATATCTATTTTCTGCTAAAGTAGCAAAAGTACATTTCATATAATGTCTTCTTGCAATGTTTTCTGTTGTAGAGCTTACATGAAGCAGAAACTGTCCTGAATTTTTTGCTCACCAGAGTTCATTCAACTAGGCCCTTGCTCATCATCATAGATGGTATAGACCAGGTGTCAAGCTACAGTTCTAGAGACATCCATTGGATTCCTTTGGAACTACCACAACATGTCAAAATGATCTTGAGTTTTCAAAGTGGAAGTGAAGAATTTGAAAAATTAAAGGTGAGCAAAAATTAACTGTACATCACTCGTTGTTCTGTATAAGAAAATTTCATAATAAACCTGGTAATTTGATTTTGAGTACAACTATACCAGATGGGATGGACATGACCTAAGGTTTAGCATCTCCAGATTGTTAATTCAAGGATTCATGTTTCTGCTGCAAAAATACACATCACACTTTAGAGCCATAAATGCACTATAAAGTATGACTGTCAAATCTGTCTATTCAGTCAGACAAGAGTAGCTCAAGTCTTGACAGTTGGTGCTGTTGACTAGCTGCCTTCCCTCTAGTCTATTAGTTCAAAATTAGTGTAAAAATTCTATATAAACAAAAAATAAATATATATTTACTGAATATTTTAATTTTCTTAAAGATTGGCTAATCCCTTATTACTTTCTTGAAAATATTTGGCATGAAAATTTGTATTTTTCAACATTTATAACAATTGTTCACCATTTTAAAGACTTCAATTTCTAATGTATCTTATGCTAATTTAAAATTAGTTTTGTCTATTTCACTTGCTCTTTCTTGCTACTTGTGTTGGATTCATTTCCAACCATTATTTTAAAATTTCTACTAAAGTGTCCTTTTGAAATCTGATTTTTATGCAATTTTTCTTTAAGCTAAGCTTCGACCTTCCGTATTAACCATACATGATGTTGATATCATTTTGTTTTTTGTCATACAATTCCCCAACCACTAATTTCTCAAAATTACAGTTAGTTTCTATCCACTAAACACTATTAATCAATATGATACCCTTGCTTGTTATCCAACTAGAAATTTCTTAAAGTTACATTTGGTTTCTGTCCAACATTGTCAAACAATACGATAGCAAATTTGCAAAATTACACTTGGTTTCTATAAATGTAGCACTGTCAAACAATTTGCTACCCTTGCTAGTATCTAACTAGAAATTTCCTCAAGTTACACTCAGTTTTTTGTCCTTAACACTTTAATCACATCTGATATTGTAAAGTAAATGTATATTTCCACAAGATCTTCAGAGAAAACAAACTTTTCATTTCTTTTATTTGAATGGAAAATATCAAATTGCTCTATTTAGATTTTTAGACTTTTTTTATATTTTCTTTATTAGGAGTATCTTTTGATGCATGAAAAATGGTTTAGCATAATAATATCCATGTATTTATGATGGGGTTAATAAGTAACAGTTGCTTTTATTTTATTTTATGATTTTTGTTTTTTCACAACAGCAAACTTTATACACAATTGTTTGTGTATATATGTTCTTTTTCGTTTTTCAGAAGATATTCAATGAAGAAGCTTACATCGAAGTTCCTAATTTGACACCAGAAGAGTGTCTTGCTATTATTGAAGATGTTTTAAAACAAAATAACCAAAGAATTACTGAAGTACAGCACTCTTTAGTTTGGTTGTGCTGTCAGAATTCTCCTTCTATCTGTTATGTTCAATTGCTTGCATATATGAGTCTCTACTGGCACAGTATCAAAGGTCTTAGTGAGCTCAAGGTCAAACGAACAACTGAAGGGCTTATGTTCCAGCTACTTACCATTTTGGGTGGGCATGTTGGAGATGGAGTTGTGACTTTTATCTTAGGACTGTTAGTCGCTACCAAGCAGGGAATTTCAGATGCTGAGATTCTGGATATTTTATCATGTGAAGACTTAGTGTTACAGAGAGTTTATTCTCATGAATGTTCTTATATAAGACGGTTTCCATGTCTATTGTGGGCTTATATTAAGCGTCATCTATCTGTGTTTGTAAAGTATGCAGTAACAGATGGTAGGAGCTTGCTTATCTGGAGGAATGAAAACTTCCGCGGATTGTGTGAAAGATATTTACACAAAGAAGGCTGCAACTTACCAACACATGCTTTAGTTGACTACTTTGAAGGTCGGTGGGCAGGAAGTAAAAAAAAGCCATACCCTTCACCCAAAGAGGGCACTGAGATTTTGAAGGATAGGTATGTCTTAGTCCAGCCACTTTACTATGGTTCTTTTCCAAACCGACGAAAATTTATTGAACTACCTTACTATTATTTACATTCTTTAAGTGATAGTTGCTTCAGAGAGAAATTCATTCTAAATTCTGAATGGTTACAGCAAAAAATTCAAGCCCTTGGCCCACTTGAAGTCCTAGAAGACATGACAATGTACCAGTGTATCAAACGTGAAGATGAAGAAATATCATTGCTCAGAGAAGTCATTCAGCTATCAAGTTATGCTCTTCTTTATGATGGATCACAGATTTTCACCCAGTTGTACACAAGATTTTTTACATTATTCAGTAATAATGAAGTTAACAATAAACAGTTTCCATTCCTGAAGTTGATGTTTGAAAGAGCACGGTGGGCACCTACTCCAAGTCTTCTACCTGTTATACCTTGTCTGCAAACTCCAAAAACATCTTGCATAACAAATCCCTCACTTGAAGTACATGTGACTCTTGTATCTAACCTTTATCGCTTGAAACAAAACTGGGGTTACATGATCTCGCTTTCAGAAGATCACAGTGAAATTATCTTGTGGAATATCTATAATCAGGAAGTTGCAAAAGTAGTACACTCAGCATCCAGACCCAAAGAACTTAAGATGATTGATGATCATCGTGCCTTGGTTCTTTGTGATTCCACTCTTTTAATTTATGACATTGATGAAGGCCTGTGTGAGCCTAAATTCAAGGTCTCTGGATATACCAGTCATTGCTTTGGATATTATGGAAATTACATTGTTATATTTTCAGAAAAGAATACATGCATCAGATTTCTAAATATCAAAACTGGTGAAGAGAAAGACACTCTTAAACCTGATGATTATGGGTACGTTTTACAGCTATGATCCGTAAATGCAACTCTCTAATTTATTCATGTTATAATTCTGCAGATAGTATTAAAATTTTAAATTTTCCAACAAACTGTAACTTTACATCAAGGATTTCAGGTTAGACAAATTTTTCCATGTGCTTTATATTAAGTATTAAGATGAATTGCTCAAATTTCTATAATCTTGGATTAATCTACTGAAATAAGTCAAAATGCAAATTAAATTACTTTTCTAATCATGAAATGCTCTGACTGAACTTCAAGCATGAATGAATTTTCTATTAATTGTCAAATCAGTTGTTTTTTTTAGATAAAATTTTCTGTCTATATATCATGATTCAGAACATAAAGATTGTTTTTTCAACTGAACCATCAAAGCTTATGAAATTTACATTCATAAGAAATTTCGTTCTTGTTAATTAATAGTTTATCTTTAGTCTGTACAACAGAGATGAAATTGCTACTTGTTTAGTTATTTTTTCCATACATTATTTGATTGTTTTTAATCTTGGGTATCCATTATACTGATTTACTATTTGATTCTTTAACTTATTTTATTTAGAAATTGGGTTATGAATAAACTGGTGGTGACAAGTAATGGTCAGTTATGTGTATGGAGAACTAGTATCCAGAATCAGTCCTCTATCTTAGTTTGGGAACTAAAGAATAAGAAGTTGTTATATGATCTGCACATTTCAACATATGTCTTTATACCACAGCTGTCTAAAGAAACTAATGATGGCTACTTGCTAGTGTCAGCATGTCAGGTAAAGTTTTTTACTTGTTCAAAGCATAAGAATATGGTAACATTACTAGCTCCTAGTAATATTTAATGTTAACATGAGATTATTGTTGTGGCTCATTTTGTTGTTAGACATTATTTTTTACTCTACAATTTTGATTTCAACCTCTGTTGATGCAAATAAACAATGCTGGCTTCTAAGCTTACAACTTTGAAAAGACATTATGTACAATAAATGTCTGTTTTTACAAATATAGGAAATATTGTTGCGTCATCGAGATCACGTGACTATTCTCACGCCCTCTACTTTCTAGAACTATCCTGTACTTTGGCGAATGCTCTAGCATTTACTAGATATAGGGTAGTCTGGTATATAAAAGAGGGTGACAATGTGACAGTAAGGTAATGTGTGTGTAGACAGTGAGTAATTGATCTGCAGTCAGAGAGAGACGTATTGTTGAAGTTAATGTTCGTTATTATAGTGTTTGTTTTAGCGAGATTGTTGAAATTAAGTGTATCGAAAAGTTATATTCAGAAAGAATAAACCAGTTTTATTAAGTAAGGACTTGTGTCGCTAAAATTTCTTCGGAACGAAGTTACGGAAAGTTAATTAACAAACGGAGACGTAACAATATAATACTGCTGCATGATTTTGACCTACACATCAGAAAATTTTAACTTATAATGCAAAAAAATTTCTTACCTTTAATAAATACAAATGATTATGTAATATCTTTTTTTTATCATAATGAAGACAAATAAGTTTATTCTAGTATTTAAAATAAATACAAATTTTAATTTGAAGTATTATTAAATTTCTATTTTACAGGATATTACCAATACAAACCTAGCTAATCATTATTTCAGGTGAATATCCTTATCTCAAAAGCTAGCCAATTTCTTGGTATGTTGACACAGGTAAATGAAGAGGATGTGCTTTATGTCTGTCGTTATTCAGCTCTTTCTGACTTTGATAACTAAATAATGTTCTCACATATGCTGAAATAAACCAAATGAATATACAGTATAACATATTTTTGTGGGTAGATGTTATGTAGCTTACTTTATGCCTCTCCACTTCCTAAAACTCCTTGGTGTTCTTACTTCATTTTCCTGCTACTCAGAATTTAGGTCTCAGGCTTTATTTGAAATATGGAGATGAAAGTCTACCAGCCAGCCATTTAAAAAGAGAGTTTCACTTGTATTCAGGATCTCAAGTGTAGATAATGGGATTCTAATTTTTAAATAACAGTGAAGCTCAAATCTTGCACATTACCTTTGGTATAAGACTTTCCTTGTCTCCTAAAATGAGCTAAGATTTTTGTTAGTTCAAGTAAAACTTTTAGGTTATAAAAGACAGCGTAAAACAGTTTTCCATGTGTTTCTCTTCCTCAAACTATCTTTAGGTTCTAATATTAAATTATGTTATATGATTCCAAAGCTGGTAAAATATATTTCTTCACTAATAATAAAATATCCTCATCAAACCAAATCTTATAATTTTGATGTCACTAGTTAAACTTAAATGTACAGTATTGAAATAATTAAGGAAGTACGCAAGTGATGCACATTCAGGAGTCACAAAAAATAAGCAGTTACAAGTATATAGTTAATTTATTAATGGTATTATAAATTAAAATAATTTTTGTAAAAATCTTAAAGGCAGCCCTTATTATTCATATACTTATCAAGCTTTTTCTAAAACATACATAAATTTACTGCCTCTAGAATATCCGAACGCAACCCATTCCAAAGGCCAATCACTCTGTTATAAAAATTAAACTGTCTTATCTGAACATGATTCCTACCTTACCAGAATTTATATTTGTGTCTCCTAGTCATACTGTCCTCGCTGTTAAATATGAAAAACGATGATGCATCAACACTATCAATTCACTTTACAATCTTAAACACTTCAATCAGATCCCCCCACTAACACTTCTTTTTTCAAGAAAAAACAATTTGAGAGATTTCAGCCTCTCCTCGTATGACAATCACTCCATCCCAGGCATCATTCTAGTAACCCTTCTCTGAACCCTTTCCAACAATTCACTGTCTTTCCTAAGGTAAGGAGCCCAAGACTGAACACAATATTCCAAATGCAGCCTAACCAGTGAACTGTACAATGAAATTATAATCTCTTTAGACTTGTATTCAATATTTCTGAAGATACAACATAAAGTCCTATTTGCCCTACCACTAGCAACAACACATTGCTTTAGAGACTGATCCACTATTACACCAAGATCCCTTTGGATGGGAATAACCTTAACAGTGTTATGAAGGAAGTTATAATTTTCCTAAATGAAAATGTATTTCTGATAGGTACCTCCCTCCTCTCACACGATTAGCTTTTCTTGTTTTGTACTACCCTCTATATGCAAACTTTTTCAGAAACGCATGCCGCAAGCCTTCATCCTCCCCTTGTTGGAATCCAACACGTCTCTCTTGTAAATCATCATGCCTCACCACTCACCAATAGGAGAGCATTATTATCACGTGACGCATGTTACTCCCTCTACACGCCACTACCGAACTATCACTTCTCATCTGGCAGCTGTCGAGTTTAGACTTTCTTTTTTTACATTGTTCAGTTACCCTGAAGTGGTTTATTTTTTAATTTTTATATTTTCTTAACTTCATTTACTACATTTCACAGTTCTGCAGTTGATATTTTAATATAGCATTACTTCCTCATGTTTCTCGCTTATGAATTCCAAAGTTACAATCACCAGTTTCTTCTGAGCCAGGCCAGACTGAAGACGATTTTGATTGTTTGTCCCCCCCCCCCCGAGTTTGCCGCGTCTTCCTGTTCACTGCCTGATGATTCAGCTCGTCTGTCATCAGTCTTTTCAGACTCTATCTCTCAGGTATATGATGTTTTTCTCTTACACCTGTTTCCTATTACCATAGACCTTCCCTCTTACATGAAACAACTTTCTGCCCCTATTTAGTATTGCATTTTTATATTTTCTTAACTTTATTCACTATTTAGTATTTCCCCTGTCCCCCGATATTAGGGTTCATGCGGACCAATTTGCCATTCAACTGGGGGAGGGTGTTAGTGTGCCTCCTCCCCCACGGCCTTTGGATCAATCCACCCTTGCTTATCATCGGGCAGATTTTCCCTTTCTCGACCAACAGTTTGATGGTGTGTCATGTACCTGGTGCTTTCCATCTTGTAGCCGATTGTCTTTCTAGACCAGATCACTTTTATCTCATGGAGTGGTCCCTGCATCCTGCTATTTTTTGGTGGCTATGTCTGCATCTGGGTACAACCCATATCGATGCCTTTGCCACCACCATCAATCACAAATTACCTCAGTTTTGGTCCTTGGTCCCCCATCCTCGACCCTTGGCTGTTGCTGCCTTCAGCCAGGATTTGTCTCATCTGTTCTTTTATGTTTACGCTCCCATCCGTTTACTTCATCGGGTGGTTTCCCCCATCCATGCCTCTCCATGAATGATCCTTCTAATTGCTCCTTACTGGGCTGCTCAAACATGGTTTCCTCAGTTGCTCCAACTGCAGGTGATCTCTCTCCTTCCATCTGAACCTGCTCTGTCAACCCCAGTCACCAGTGCTCCATCCTGTGCCATCTGTCCTCCATCTTCACACCTGGATTTTGTCAGGCGAGGAGTTCCAGTTTCTCTCACAGACTAGGTTCACATTTAGCCTGTTCTAGTTGCCCTTCTTCTATGGCCATCTATCAATGCAAATGGAGCATTTATCGCTCCTGGGCATTGACTTAGAGTTTCTCATATAGCTGTTTGAGAAGGGTTCTTCTGTCTCCTCGATTTTGGGGTTTTGAGCAGTGTTATCCCCTACATTCCGTTTTTCCCACTTCCACAGGGTCTTTGCTTCCCCTGTCCTTTCCATGTTGATCCATTCCTTCTGGCCCCATTAGCCACCAAGGCATCCCAGATAAGGCCATTAGCATGGTCCTTTATGCCCTCATTTTATCCCCATTCAAACCACTCTATGTGTTCCCTGTTTTACCTCTCCTTGAAGGCATATTTCCTACTCCTCCTGGCCTGCAGGCGTCGTAGGTCAGATATTTTCGCTTTTGACATTACCAGGACCTTGTACCACTTTATACTTTATCTGGATCCTGCTTTCCTTCCCAAGACCTCTGCAGCTTGAGAAGGTCAGTCTGCTTTTTCCCTATCTGCCTACCCTCTATATGTCATCTCTACCCTAGTCCTGAAACAGATAGACTCCTCCGTCCTGTCTGTACCCTCCATTGTTATATTGCTCACATGGCTTCCTTCTAGGGTTCTCGTTCCCTGACCAGTTGGGTTTGATGTTTGATCTAGTTGGCCTATTCCTCCTTGTTTCCTTCCCAGTGTGATCTCTTTCACATTTCTTCACATCAAATCCATCACCTTACCTTCTCCCTTGCCTCTCATTTTCATTGGCCACTGGAAGAGATTCTATGATTGGGCATGTGAACGACTCCACACACGTTCATCTCCCACTACCTACACCACATCGCCTGTGGCTATTCTACAGACTTTGGTTTGGCTGCGACATGAGGTAAGCCCTCACCAATGCTTTCTTTTCTTTCAGGGGACCCTGCTTCAGCATCAATTTGGATCCAGCTCTGTGGTGAGTGGTGCCTGACCAGGTATTCTGTCTGTACTCGGAATGGGTTCCACTTAGATGGCTATGATCATTTGCAGTCATCTTGCTATCAAATCTGCACTGTATTGTCCATGGCTATGTACGCTCACTCTTGAGATGGGATGTTTCACAAGAACACTAGTGTAAATTCCTTGTGATAATTGCATCATAATGTGCCTGTCTCAGACCATTCCACCCATGTACAGCATGAATAAAGCAGAAGGGGATTGCTGCCCAATCCTGCTATGCCTAGATTGAATAAATTGATGTGGTCTGCTTTTCAAAATAGGGTTTCATCCATTGCACTGTCTCAGGTGTTGAAGTCTCTCCAAACTCTCCACTGCACTTCCCCTCCTTCTTCCAGTGGAGTACGGGAGTCCTTACCACTTGCCAGTTCCAAGCCGCTGGGGTGGTTGACCATGGAGGCAACCTGCTGGATGGGTTCCCCAAAGATGGCTATAACCATTCAGTTCAGAGTAGGGCAGTGGTGTTCTGCTGGTGTAGAGGGATTTACAAGATCCTTTGGATGAGTAACTATTTCCTGGAGTTGAGACACCCAAATGCAGTTCACCCCTCCAATTGAGTGCCCTCCTCCTACCCTCGCATAGACGTTGGTATCCAGGGAGTGAGGTTTTGGAGTTTTTTTAAAGTGAATCAATCACATAAGTCCTCACACAGGTTTCGGGTTGTCCATCTTCCTCTCTTGACTTGTCTTCTGTGTTGTGGGTCGCAGAAGGTCTGTGTGACCTGTTTCTGCTTCTGTCCTACATTTTCCCTCGTTGAGTGATGAGGTTGTTACTGGGGTCATTTTAGGCTGGCTTCACAGTTGTGGGAGTTGAGAGCATGCAATGGACTTCCCTCGGATTCAGTATGACACATTCCCGGATCCTTGGCATTAGGCTACCCTATGAGTTTCTAAAGTAGAATGTTTGGTTCACTCTTGACTCTGGGACTTGAGGTGAAGATGGTATGACCCTCATCCTATCCTCGCGAGGATGTCGGTACCTAGCGAGTGAGGTTTTGGATGTAGTTGACTTACCAAGTACAGTCCCTTGCACCTTAGCCACTCTATACCATGGAACACATCCTTACTTGCCCACTTCCATTGTGGGATTGAGTGATACTGATTTCTGTTTAAGATCACATTGCTAAACTATCTTCTCCCGTACGCATGTGCTCCCTTTAATGTTCCACCATGTATGGTCCTCCTGATCATGTCGATGTTCATGGTGAAGAGATAGGTGACTCAGATGTGGTGCAGCACCCCTCCTCAGATCACTTCCGAGGTACGTGTCTATGCTTCTCTCGTACTGGTTCCTCCTCCATTTCAATGTGGGATTCAAGCTAATCTTATGAGAAGAGGGAGATTACCTTATCGGAAGTTATAATTTTCCTAAATGAAAATGTATTTCTGATAGGTACTTCCCTCTTCTCACACTTCCCACCCTTCTCCTAACAATTTTCTGGTGCTTGCATCTTCTGCCAAACTTTGCAGTGATAGTTCAGTAGTGGCACGTAGAGGGAGTAACATGCGTCACTTGATAGTAGTGCTCTTCTATTGGTGGAGAGGTTATGCATGATGATTTGCATGAGAGACGTCTTGGAACTGTGGATTCCAACAGAGGGAGGATGGAGGCTTGTGGCATGCATTTCTAAAAAGGTTTGCATATAGTGGGCAGCATAAAACAAAAAAATCTAATCTTGTGAGCGGAGAGAGGTACCTATCAGAAATACATTTTCATTTAGGAAAATTATAACTTCCTTCATAACACTGTTAAGGTTATTTCCATCCAAATTATATTTATAATTCAAATTATGTTCACACATCTTTGTTAAGAATGTGTAATAACATATTCTCTTGCTTATCATCATCATTTAAGTGTGATTGGCCCACTGACTTTTCAGCCTTAGGCCTCATTCAGGCAATGTGCAAAGACAAATATAAAGTAAAGAAATAATTTGCTTTCCAGTTCACAGAGCTATGAACCCAGAATTCCATTTCATGTTTGTGTGCACTTGTTAATGTCTATTGAAACATGTCATTAGATTGCTTGTTTATCTCTTAACTTTTCTTACTTTTCTGGTTTTAAAGTATGGTGAGTTAGACCTTTAGCTTTTGTAATGGAGAGGTAATTTATCCTTTTTTGAAAAACCTTTTACAGCAACTGGTTTCCAAAACATAAGTGTTGAACTACATACTGTTATATTTTTTAAACTTGATCTATTACAGCTGTTTAATTTATGTATATTTTGTCTACACATAAAAAATGGTTCATTTACATTTAATTTACTTTAACATACAAATGCAATGGTCTACAGGCTCCCTTCAGAAAAGAAGCAGCAGCATAGTATATAGATCCTACTGTGGGCCATCAACACAGAACAAATCAGGTGGTCTTTGAACAAAGTTCGAGAACCACTAACGTATGGTTTATATAGATATATGTTTTATATCTTTACAGTACGTTTTGTTGAGGCTATATTTAAAAGTGAAGTTTAGAAATTAATAGAATTTTGAATACCTAGTAATATCAGTTTGTAAGGTATTATACAACTGTACGTTTTCAGTAGGAACCAATGAAAACTAGTTTTTATATAGTACAAACTAGATGATTACAGCTTATTTCTTTATTATTTTATTCTATTGAAGTCCCATTTCAAACTGATTATTACATTTGTTTTACAGGCACTCTGCAAAGATAGTTCACACATCCTCATACTGTATGATCTTCAGACTGGTCATATCAAGAACCAGTGGCATGCCTGCACAGAGGTCACTGCTGTTGCTGTCTACTCAGAGTTGGACTGTGTGTTGAGTGGATTATCAAACACATTGATTGTGGTTTGGGAAATGACAACAACACAGAAAAGGTGAATACACATAAGAATACTACTATGATATAAACGTGTAGTTATTTAACTTTTAGTGGTTAGAATCATTACACTTAAGTGTAATTTATGAATTGTGTCAAAACAGCAATTGCATTAATACAAAAACACATCATAAATGAATGTGAAACAAACTAACATACAGTATACAATTATATGTCATTATGACACTATTATTTTATTATTTTAAGAAGTAATCTATGACGAATGTGGTGAAATTCAGCACAACCTGATAAAACTATTGTATGGGAAAGCAGAGGCATTCTTCTGAGTTATATTTTTACAGCAATGATATATTTTTGTATAATTGAACTGTCCAACTATAAACATTCACCAGCTAGTAAACTGGATGGCTGAAATTTTAATCATGTCCTTGAAAATTTTAAAGCAATGATCAGTATAGCCTACAAGTTGTTACCACACACACATCAGTAGTTCATAAATTATTCAAACATTAATAAAAAACTAAACATTTTTAACAGATGAATATCTTCTAATTTTCTTTCTTTTGTTACTGTCATTCCTTTTCATTATATTCTTTACTACACTGTATTGTGTACCTGAGACACTAAAGAAATTGTACAGTTCCTGAACAGTCACAAGCATATTACACACTGACATAACTTCTTTTGGGATGTCAAAAAAAGTACAAGATTGAGAACATGTGCTTTACAATGAACATGAATAGCTTCGGGTTGGCATTTTGAATTATTGTGGCAAATCCACTATACCGACCTGCATAGCTGATCCACCGTTATTTTAATCTGTCTGGTGAAATCCTTCAAAGTTCTCAATACAGTTAAAATTCTTGTCAACATTTCAAGCCACAGATGCAACTTGTGAGTGATGAGTCAAAGAATTTTGCATCAGTATTCTTGTGCATAACATCATTAGTTGAATGATTCCCTAAAATTAAGATTTGATTCTATACTTTGATTAAGTGTACATGAAATATTTCTCTTGGTTACAAATAATTTTTTCCAGACATGGACAGTACTTAGAAAGATGCAGTTACAATTCTAAAAGATTACTCCTGTTAGCTGAGTTTGTTGACTCAAAGTATTCTTGTAATGCAAGATCAATCCAGTCTAAGGTACTCAAAGTTTTTGTTAACAAAGAAAATATTTAAGAATTGACCATCAATTTTTTATAGAAGTTAAATTGATCATATTTTCTGTGAAGAATGTCTCTTACACTAGAAAACTCAACCTGAACTCTTTTATAAAGAATAGTATCCAGGAACTGGAGATGTTATTTAGTTATTTCTTTTTTTTATATGTTTATGTTTAAAGAACTAGATTATTGTTAGATTTTCATCTCTACCCCTTTCTGTTAGATTCATTTTGAGAGGACACAGTTCTCCTGTTGATCATATTCAACTTTCAGTATCATCTGGTTTTTGTGTGACCTGGGACTCGAAGGGTTATGATCGCAGTCTTAGACTGTGGGATCTAAAAAAGGGTGAGAAAAAATAGTTTAATTTTTTATTTTTCAATCCTCTTAAGATGCTTTCTTCTAGTTGGAAAAAGAACATTTTGTGGAATATGTATTCTAAAGTTTCATTAGTTTGAAAAAATGTATGGTCTGTGATATTGTAAGTTAAGTTTAGCTTTCTGATAGAAAACAAATAGTAACTGTATCCTTAAAATATAAGACGAGTTGACAAGTTAGTTGTTGTTAATTTTTTTGTTAATGTTCATCTAAGCTATTTCCATGATTGGAAAGAATTGGTAGGATAACATGCACATAATTAGTGCATTTAATAAGGGATCTATCAGACTAGTTTTACAAATTAAAAGCTAACTGGGAAAGCTAGAATTAGTACTTATTATTTTAACAGTTATAAAAAAAGATACTATCATTTGAACAAGCAGCTTCTTTATTTTAATACTACATTTTGTACACTTCCAATACACAGCTATACAGGTTATAGGAGATAAATAAACTTGTTTGTTTTTTATATCTATATTTACCACTGAAATGTTTTTCTAGTACAGCTTTCACAGTACAAAAGCTAGATATCAAGATCTACAGAAAATTCAGTTCAAAGATGATGAAATCAAAAGAATTTGACTTCCAATATTATGTTACATACTTAATTACCATCTAAACCTGATTATATTATTCATTCATTGGTAATGTGATCTGGACTCCTAATGAACTGGGATTTTCTAATAATGTTGAATTAATAATAGGTAGTGTAGCCTTTTACTTGGGCCAAGAGAGCATCAAAGATGTTGAAGACATAACTGAAAGGGTTGGTGTGAGAGATTTTAATAATGCAGATGGTTCCTTGTAATTGATCTAAAGTATATAATCAAGTAACATGATTTTTGTGATAAAAAAAAATCCTAAAAGTTGGAGTTTGTTAATCTGAAGCGTTAATAAATTTTGGTTGGGATTAAATTAGAAATGTATGATTCAAATGTTAAGGTGTAACTAAATATGATGGTTGTTATATAAAATCCTACGGTTGTATTTCTAAATTTGAAATCACAGTATCAACTCCACTTCAGTTTTATAAGGGAGAAAAAAGAGGCCAATGTATCATAACAGATTATTGTGCATAATTAACATTATTTGAAAATAAGAGTATTAGATATGATTTCAAAGGTGAAGGTGATTCTCATGGTAAGTTTTAAATTGTTTGATTAATGATAATAACTAGTTTGTATACCAATATAACAGGTTGTTCTCTTTCCACTGAACATTAAATATTTTTACCTTAGAAGTTTGCATTTACTATCCAACATTTTAGAAAAGACAATGGGGCTTTAAATACTTGGATGAAAATAGATGCTGCTTTCTTTCAAGAGTGATATTTTTATTTTAGCTTTCAGAAATTCAATAATTATCAGAATGGTTTTAAGGATTTGTTTTACACAATTTATTGTTATTTTAAAATCAGATCACTATATAATCATGTGAAATATTCGTTTTTTTTTTGTTATCTTATAGGAGAATGTTTATCTACATTCACACCAGATGAGCTTATCGTGTGCTGTGAACTGTCTCTAGATGGGAAGGCAGTTGTTATAGGGCTTGAAGGAAAACCTGGAATCACAACCCTAATTCTATGCCATAATAGTACAGTACAAAATGAACAAGCCTCTAGACTTAGAGTATGGAAACCAAGGACAAAATAAAACTTTTTAGCAGTCCATTTATTAAATCTAATGGTTATGTACTTTTTTAGGTTTTAAAATATTTGACATTTTTTTCTTGTAATTAACCAAAAACTTGAAACTCTGGAGATCATGGTTTGTATAGTTTACAGAAATATTATGATTTGGTGTATGATTGGATTAACTTATAAGGCAGTACAGTTTCCTGATAGTTCTGGTACTGGTAGTGATTCAGGACAGTAAATTTATTTTACTGTCGATTACATATTTATAGCAACAGCATGAATATTAATTATGGCTGCAAGGATTTTATCTGCTTGTGATTATTTATTTTGTGATTCTGATAAAATGTGTTAAGTTTAATGGCTCATATTTGACAAGCACCACAGCTATTGAGACACAGCTAGTGGAGGTAGCCTCTATACATTACCATGATAATGGCATGTGAGACAGAGGAAGTCTATCTACAGTTTCTAATGTACAAGTTGATATGTAACACAGTAGCAAATAATGTTTAAATTGGATTGAAATATTTATGAGCAGATAGAATTATGTACAATAAATTATACGGGAAATTAACTGACGACCAGAGGTGTAACAATATGTTTCTAAAGGAAAGTTAACCAGCGAATAAACCCAAAAAGCTACCGTTCAATCAGCTTGACCAGCTGCATAGGCAAAATTTTAGAAATAATGATAAATAATATACTCTCCACATTCCTAGAAATTATATCAAAATTAACTGAAGTACAAAACCACAGGTCATTTAGTTAGATTAACTGAAACCATAGTAGATAGCTTTAATCAAAACAAATGCTCTATTGCCTGCTTTCTTCATATAGAGAAAGCTTTCGACACTGTATGGCATAATGGTGTATGATATCGCATGAAACAAATGGAATTACCAACAGGTGTTATTCACTGATTATCTAACTTTTTGGAAAACAGAAAATGCAGAGTGAATGTGGAGGGCGCCTACTTAATGTATTTATTCCTGAGGCAGGTGTTCCCGAGGAAGAGGTAGTTAGCCTTATCTTCATCATCATGTATGTAAGCGATATGCCCTTAAAAGATCTAAATTTTAGTCTTACTTCTTTCTCAATTCGCAGATGATGTGGCAATATGGAAGAGTTTCATGACTCCCTCAATAGCCGCTACAAGCTTACAACCACTACTACACCAACTAGTTGAATACTATCAAAAACACAGAATTCAAATACTTTTTTCCAAATACCAACATGGTACTATTCTTGAAATCGTTCAAAATACATTGACACCCAGCCGAATTATACTTACATGGAACTCGTCTACATATTGCCATGTCAGTAAAATCCTTAGGATTAACATTCGATTCAAAATTAACACTGATAAATCATATAACCCAAATTTGAAATAAAGTATGGCAACGATCAGACTATGGTAGGAGACTGTCGAGTGAAAATATAAGAGCATCATAAACAAATATCATTAAAATTTATAAATACGTCCAGTAATTGAATATGCCTGTCCAGCATGGATTAACATTGCACCATCACATATTAAGAAATTATAAACAATACAAAATTCACTAATCACCATAGCATTTAGGGTATCCAGATCAACAAACACAGTTTGTATGAACAAATACGCAAACATATCACCAATCCACGATAGGCTCCTAGACTACTCGTTCATATATTTGACAAAAATTTATATCATTTTGATTTACTAACCTCCATAGTTTATACGTGATGATGATACCGCTAAATATATTTCTCTCCACTTAGTACGTACCATAAGAAAAAGGCCTCCTACTCTAGACCAAAAAATATCACTTAGTATCCAGCTGTATTTAAAAGGGTATTTATGCCAAATACATGTCTGATAACGCAATCTAGTGAAAAGTGACGATTTGCCAACTGAACTGTTTGTGAAGTGTAGAACTATTACATAATCAAATTAAAAGATGAGGGAAGAAAGCACTAAATGCTATAAGTTTTACATTCATGGACATGGCCCTGAAGAGGGAAGTAGGATCAATCAGTGTAATTACCTGCAAAGTGTTTGAATTTGAGCCCTGGTCTCGTGATGTATTTGTCTAGCGTTTAACTAAATAAATAAACAACAGTCAAGCAGGAAGGAATATTCTGATCCGGTAGTGATGGAGGAAGAAGTCGAAGGTGTACCTCCCAGGTCCAACAAAATCGAAACTAAAAATCCGATCCAGCGGATGATTGTCGGTGGTGATAGATTTTCTGTCTCAAAAGGTTTGTTTTTTAGTTTGAGCTTATTTGGACAAGTTATCAACTGTTTTGCTGTGGAAGTGTCAATTACTTATTACCATTTTATTTCTTGTAGATATTTTGAAATAGATTAATAACTATTATAATTACTATAAAAGTATAGTATATTACGTATTATTAGCTTCTTTGGGATATATTATTATTAAGACTACTATTACTAATACAATACATTAGTCATTATTGCCTTTTGTCTGTTGAGTAGCAAGCTCACTTCTGGTTGGATCCAGCTTTGTCTCATTGATTGGTCATTTTAGTTTTGCTTGTATATTCTGCTTCTGTTTTTTCTTGAACTTTGAAGAACTAAAATTTTATATTGTCAGGTTTTGGTTAAGGAGTGAAACTTGTGTATTATATTATACGCACACAAAGTTGGATATTTTTATATCATGTAATTATAATTATATTGTTTATTTAATGAGACATCTCTTAAAAGTTTTGGGTAAAGACCTGCAAATTTGATAAAGTTATTAATAGCTGAAGTGCATCACTAATCCCTTTCATTCTGTCTGTCATCAAAGTTTATGAAATAATTTGGTTTACATATAATTATAGTTTGAAAATTTGGTGCTATTGTATTTTTTGGTTTGATATGTCTGACTTAAAAGTTATTTATCTCTTTTGGTAGAAGTGTGGACAGAAGTTTTATCATCCCTTTCAAACATTATATATCTGACAACAAATTTTGAACAAAATAATGGGAAGTGTGTGCTCTGCAAGGAAGCAAAGGCCTGTGTCATCAATGGAACTGACTGAAAGGTATGACTTATTTTTGAAGATGTGTAACAATTTCTTTAAATAATATAGACTATGTTAGGTGATTTTGGAGACTCATCACCTTATTACAGTCCATGTTACCACATGGTTTTGTTGTGTTTGATAACTGCATTTTGACAATAGCTCAGCAGCATAGTTTCCATTGTAAAATGCTTTGTTATAAGACTAATTTTCCAAGCACACCACTTCTCCTTGCAAACTTTCCAAAATTCATCAAGTGTACAAGGAAAATGGCTTCCCAGAACCTTTTTCAACTGTCTGATTTCATATGTATATAGTTGCAGCATCTGGCAACTTCACTAGTATGTCTTCTTATGGAATAATATGAATACCTGTTTCATTCGCCAGCTATATAGGGTATGTGGATGTTAAACAGATATTTGGTGGAAGCAACTTGTGTACACATGACTTATATTGGTTTTTCAAAAGGAGATCCCTTCTTGATTATGTTGTATATTGTTGCACTTTGCATACCATAACTGTGGTATAACTTGTTTCAGGTTTCTTTCCATGGTGCCTCAGGTTGCTCCATGTTCCTTTGTTATGCCATTAAGTAAAAGGATATCCACATCTTTGAAATTCTAAATTCCCAATGTGAAAACATCTTTATGATTTGAGTGTATGAATGTTTTATTTCAGAAATGGCTGTTACATACCCTTCCCAAATGAGATCAATTTTGATGATATCACACTACTTACGAAAAGCCAAACAATGTCAAAATGCAACTCTGATATGCGCATTCCACTGTGACTTATTGGCTGTGGTTGTGTAGAATTTGTTAGATCTTCTATTACTTTTAATATATTATTGTATTTTGATATTATTTCTTTAAAAAAATTCATTTATAATAATGTATTAACCTAATTTATGATTTATTTTACATATTTTTTAAGTACATATTTGTTTGTTTTATTCTGTTTGGAACCTACTCAGTCTTATACACTATACAATTTCATTAGATTTTGAACTTGCATTTAAAATTAAACCTGATACTAGAATTTAAAGAAAACAAATTTATTTGGGAAATTAAAAAAATTTTTTGTTATTTGAGAAGCTACATTCAAAAAGTACATGCCTGTAACCAATGTGTAGTATTTTAATACTCTCAAAATGTGTTAACAAGAGGAATTATATGAGTTATTAAATTTCTAGTATTGTATGATTTTATTCATTATCTTTGAAAGTTTGTTTAATTGTAATTTTTGGTTTTCATAAAACTAAATATATTTATATTTTTCCTTTTGAATTTCTTTTTTTCACTGGACACTTATCTAGACAAATGTGTGATAATTTGTTAAATCTGAAACTGAAAGACTAAGAATTTTATTATGTCTAGTCATTTCACAAGCTTTTGATTGGTACTGAAAAAAATTATTTATGCTTTCAAGTTTTGCGATATAATATTGTGATTAAACTACATAACAGGAGTTTTACATATTACAGGTAACATAATAACTTGATTAACAAACTTAAATTAGAAATATAAGGTTATAACTTGTATATGTATTAATATTCTTTACATGAAGTATTATGTACAAATAAAGGTATTTAAAAAATTTGTACACAAAAATATTAATGAAATTTTATGAATTTTAAAAATATAAAATCCATTATTTAGCAGTATAAGGGTTTGGGTTAAACATTCATACATATAAACAATTATCAGTATATATATAAATGATTAAGGCCAAAATATTGAAATTCACAATGCTGCATAAGAAAAACAAAGAGATCCTGCTGTTACAAGAAAGTAGTTTGGATTGTTATTTGTTTATTTAGAAAATGTTAACATGAAATATTTTTTAGAACTGCAACCAGTGAACTCACATAACATTTATATTCTGTGGAAATAAACAAAACTTATAATGTTAGCATAGTTTTTATTACAGATTTGTTTGGGAATTTTTACAGTGGAAGTCAGTATATCGAAATCAATTCAGCTGAGGACATTACATGTAGTCAACACACCTGTGAAAATATTGAAAGTTCCAGTTGTGATCATTGGGCATGCCCAACATTTGTGTCGCATGTGGAAAGTGTCCATTTTTCAAATACTAGTATGAAAACAAAACCGTTTAGAGTTTTAAATGTGGAAAGTGAAACCGAACTGGTGTCTTCAGTTTCATCTTTAAATGATCCAGGAGTACATGTAAGTTTTATATATGATTCCTTTTTATGAACAACTTATTATTATAATAAAAAACAAACTATGTACACTATATATATTTGTTTAGTATTCTTTTATTTAAGGAAATAACTGCTTTGATTTTTACTGACAAACTATACACTATATAATTTTTTTATTAAGTGAATATTGAACATTGTGACACTTTCCAGGCTTCTGAAGAAGGGCAGCAACTGTTTGGACATAGAAGTTTTAAGGGTGTTCCTAGCATACAGGATCTGCCTACCAGCATCAGTTGCTTGCTGACTGGCCAAGTGTTTGAAGAGTTTTCCCCACAGCCACTGAAACTGATTAATATCTATATATGTGCAGAATTTTATGGTATGATGTAATTTAAATTTTTGCTAACTAAAATATTTAGTAATAAGTATGCTTTCTCTTTTGGTATTGTTAGTAAAGATATGCCCCCTTTCTGTTACATTTGGCTGTTGGAAATTCTAAATTGTAGCTTCACTTTGGTGTAGCATGAATAGCTCAGGACCGATACTTTCAGTTACGATAAAAGAAATTATACTCCTGTACTCAGTATTATCTCAGGGAAAATTGCCAAAAAATTAGCTTCCTTGGGTTACTACCCTGGCAGACACATGGCTTGGACAGGATTACACTGTACTTCTTTGATTTACCATGCTATAAAGGGAATGCTTTTAAATGGTAGCAAAGAGTTACATGTAACCAGTGGTAAAATTTTCTTGACCTCACAGTGTGTGGAGTATCACATTTTCTGAAAGTTAACAGTACTGTTCATACACTCTCTAAATTGAACTATCATGAAATACAAAAAAAATAATATAATTTTAAATTGGGTTCCAAAAAAAAAGGCACTACTCCACTTGGATTTCCAAGAAAATAATTGATATTTGATCTTTTAGTTTTTTTTACATCAGTGTGTAGTAAGTAAATACACCTGAGTTTCAATCAATATGTAGAATATTTGCTTCAATTGGTAGCCTTATTTTCTGCATAAATCCTTAAATTACCTGCTTCCTTTTCACAGATGTTTTGATAACATTTTTATTTTTCAGTTTTTCACAGTTATTGTCTTAAAAATCTGTAACTGAATGCATAAGTGGTACCATATTCATTCTTTACAGTGTTATTTGTAAGTCAAAACTTAATGTGTATTGAAAACAATGTCATGTCTTCAAATTAAATGAATAAACATATTACCATGTTAAATTAAGTATTAAGTTGCATTAGAATGAATCCTTATCCAACTCATCTTCCTCATGTGTATGGCAACATTTCCTGTTAGTGATTTTTTAATGTTTTCTTTTGTACCACTGTAAGTAACAAAATATTTGCTAATTATGAACTAGAATTATTGTATATGTTATGTACAATTTCAGTCCTTAATAAACTTACCTACCTAACCATGTATTTGAAATCTAACATATTGCAATCTTATTTCTGTGGATGCTATAAAATGTAAATACTATACATCTCACTTTCCCGTTGTTTATGTCTCATGCCTATAAATGTTTAATTTTCTTTTTAACTGTAATCCAGAGCATCCTAAATCTGATCAAGGTCATGTTCTAAATTCAGCCTGAGGCACTACTTTCTATAGCAGAGTCTGATCACAGAAGCTAGCAATGTTTTCATGGAATAATTGTGTTGTATCCTACTTTACCTTGTATGGAGTACTGCATCATCACTGTCACCATGTCACATAGAGTAAAGATAATTCCATATTCTTGTTTTATGATTTGTTAGTTAGAAAGAGAGAAAATGTGACACTTGAATGCAGTTTTTGGAAAGATTCTTTTCTGTTTGCAGGGAACACAGATTCAGCCCTGACTTGAAAAAATTAAAACTTGTTATTAGAATATCATTTTTGTTTGCTATATTATTAAGTCTTCTGAGTATCTGTTGTTTTCTTTTTATTCTCCATTTTTAATTAGATAGTCTTTCTTAATTATTCGTTTATTTTACTTAATTTCACTTTATGAAGCAATAGTTTTACTACTTGATGACTTATAATTCTTCTTCACTTCTTCCTCAGTAAATAGTATTTTATTTTGTTTCATCTTCAACAACTTATCTTGTTTCTTTTGTTCCAACATTACAAACCATTAAACTTGACCTTCTTTGTACTAGATACACAAATCTATGTGGTGTTGTGGAAATTGGGTAAGTGTATACTTGATTTATCCTTAAATTACCACAGTGCCATGCTATTCCTTTGTATATTTTGTTCAGTGGTTGACAAATATCCCTAACATTTAGGAGCAAACAATAAATCCCAGGATTCAGAATAATAACTTATCTCAGTGAGGAGCATGGGGGACCATTCCTACATTGACTTAAGAAAGGTTTTGATACAGTTTTCAATTTTATGAAAGTTGTGCATTTTAGACATACACATGATATGCATACTGCTTTTTTTTATGCAACTTAATGTTTACAATGCTTTTTCTATGTGATGTAAAATTATATAAAGCCCATGTTTCACAACATCCGAATGACAACCACTGCCTGCCAGAACTCTACTACCCAACCTATCACATTAGACCAAGTAACTCAAACTTCGCCCACATCTGAGACAGAAACACAAGACAAGACAACCAAAACTACCATTACAAGAAGGAAAAAGGTAACCAGACCCAGCCACTAGTCCTACCAGTAACCAACGATGCATATCAACAAACCCTTGATTATTAATTATTTCTTCTGAAATAATTAAGTTCAAATCAAAATAACTACCAAAAACAGGAACACACTGACTTGAAGACGAAAGGTGGAAGACTTTTGAAACGTCATCCTCTAAACTCGTGTCTCTACAACAGGCAGTTGCTGTCCATTCTACAAAGTTTCGTCATGAATACTCTGCCTAAACAATCTATCAAAGAATATATTTAACCTGTTTCAAAATATGTATTTTTTAAACTGAGGTTGAATTTTATAGATTATTTTTAGTTTTTCTTAAATATTATCATAACTTTCACTTAAGCTTTATTGAAAATTGTTGTAAGTAATTACTAGATGTTTGTAATTGGATTCATCATCTATAAAATCTGTTAATTATTCATTTTGGGGCAAAATAGGATAGAATTTATGGGAAAGTAGCAGATTTGGTGATTATTAAAAAAATAGTGCCAGTATCACAAAGTCAGGTATGTTAATTGGAACTGACAGTTGACTATAGTAACATATACAATGTTCTCTCAATCCCTGTGACAATGGTCCACATGCTTACTCTTTGATTGTGGTCTATTCCTACCATTGCTGTCTGGTTGTTAAATAAACAGCACTGATGAGATGGTGGCTCTTCATTTACCTCATGTTTTCTTTACACTGGTTTCATTGGTGCCAGAGATGGTGATGGCTTATATATCATTGATTTTACATGGGTGTCTACTCAACAAGTGGTGATGGTGGTCACAATTAAGGTCTGCATTGTTGCAGCTCAGCTCTTCTCTTTTAGCTCTAAAACGTTTTCCTAGGGCCCAGCCAACTCTTGGGTTGACTTAAGTTCCAGAAATGTCTTTCTCAGCTTTGAGATTTAGTGGTTGTGCTGGAAGTGAGCTCACATGTGATGCATTTTTTTATGTGGTTTTGCACCTGATAAGTAGACACTGGATCAGTGGGCTTGTTTTTCTCAATGATCTTCTGGATTTCTCCTTCACAGGGGTTGAGGAAGATGTTAGGGTTGTCCTTGTTTGTCACTGTGCCACCAGTAAAGTTTGTTTCACAGAGAGGAGTTGAGTCTGCTGGCCTTTCTATCATCTTAGAAACCTGTGCATTGAAAGTATGTCCATCTCCTGGACTCTTGTTGTTAATCTAGAACATTAGTTCTTTATTGAAGAGAAAGTCCTGGGCAGATTTTCACTTTAGAAAAAAAAAAAAAAGCAGGGCTTCATCACACAATGATTAAGAAAATGTCACTGGCTATTTGAAGACAAGATGGTGAGCTTGGTTCAGAACATAATCTTGAATAGCAAAAGTTTGAATTGAAAATGCAAGGTAAATGAATTTCAGTTGGTCAACTAGGTGTGTAGGTTGCGAGGTGGTCATAACCACTTGGTTAAAACCAATACCACCCTTTAAAAATTACTTTTAGAGGCTGGATAATTAATGGGTTCATATGTGCTCATTCTCAAATAGCATGAAGAATATATCCTGGCATGCATGACCTGTTTGGTTCACATACTTCACTGTGTCTTCACTTGACCAATCCATTTTTAGCTATGTGGCCTTCTGTTACCATCCCTGTGACAATGGTCTACATTCTTATCATTTGACCTAGGTCAATTTCTTCCACCACTGTCCATTTATTACATAAACAGCACCTGGTTCCATTAGGAAAGGACACTTTTTTCTTTTTTTTTGCCTAGACTGCAAAACTGTATCCTCTACACATAAGCTAACTCAGATTAGATGATACTAACCTTTGATTTTGATCTTTAAGATCTGCTAACACTTTCATTGTATTTTAAAGTTTAGTACTAGAGCTATGGTGCAATTTTCAAAGTTTCACCACTTGGGTGTTACTTTCTGCCTCACCCTATTACACTTACAGCCTGCAATTTTATGTATATTACACACTGTATCCTGTACTGAAATACAGTTGAGAAAATATTTAGAAAACTGTCCCTAAATATTTCAGTCTGTATGATTGAATATATACTATCACAACCAGATAAAGCACTGGGTAAACCAAATTTATATTTGTTATGATACTTAAGCTGCTGTTTCTGAATTTCGTATACTACTGATAATTTCACCTACCCAACCTTTTCAATTCATAACAAGTAAAATATCTTGCATTACTCTTGTTAAAAAACAAGAGGTAAAACTATGTTTTCTATAACACATAGTGTAAGTATCTCCACTACTCTTATCCTTCCATGAAAGTTTTCTACCTGCCAACTGTCAAAATTGAAACCTTCTTTTACTAATATTGATGAAAATAAAAGGTACACTGTATTTTCAAACAATACCTTACAGGTTGGTAATCACATTTAAATTCATATCACAATATTTTATCATCCATATCAAATTCTCGATTTATACCTATTGCCTCCAGTTTCCACACTTAATTACTTCATAACTATCTCTTGTTACTTTCCAAAACTACCATCAGTAGTTATCTCAATAAAGTGCTACCACTTGTGAGCTATCAGACTTGTGCACTTTTCTTTTCAGGCAACACAAAATAACAAATCTGACCAAATTCATCAGAACTAAGTTTTTTTGTAAAAACTACCATAATTCATAAAACATAATTAATTATTTGTGCTGTTACTATAGTACATATCAATATACACTTAAACCACAACCCTCACACTGCATGCATGGAGGATTGGAATTTTGCATGACCCCCATTCATATACGTTGTGTATCCATTTACCCATTTTCATTTGCAACTTTTTACTTGACTGGAGTTTCCAGGTCCATGTGAGTTTGACCCTGTCCCGATCCTTCACACAAGAACTTGGAGTCCCTCAGAACTGTATCTTGGGTATCACACTTTTTAGTATTAAGATCAATGCTATCACTGAACAACTTCCTCCTACTGTTACAAACAGTGTCGAAGATTTCCACATTTCTTATCAGTCGTCAAACATGAAGTTTATTGAGAGGCAGCTTCAGACTGCTCTCAGTTGCTTGTTGGGGTGGGCCAGGGCAAACGGTTTCACCTTCCCTTCGTCTAAGACTGTTTGCATCCATTTTTGCCACCATTGGGGTTTGGATTCTGATACAGAGCCTCATCTCGGTGGTGATGTTCTTTCTGTGGTGGTTGAGACTAAGTTCTTGGGACTTATCTTTGACTGTAAGCTTACTTTCATTCCTCACATTAAACAGCTTTGTGTCAAGTGTACAAGGTCACTGAATATCCTCTGCCTGGTATAACTTTTACTAAATAAGAAGTAACAAATAGGCGAAGGATTGACTCTTTTATAACTGTTACTGGTGTGTGAAATAAAACTGTTAACTGACAACTTCCAAAGACTGTATTTAAACACATTTTACATTTGACTTGGTTTGTTACACCAATCCACTAAATTAAGTTATAACTCTTCTCTGAAATTCAGCAAGGCGAGGTGGTTGTATAATTAAATATGCTATTTATATATAAGCAGTGTTATTTTTGTATACCATCTGAATGTTTGATGTTATTCCTAGGAAAAATTAATAAATCAAAGAAAAATATGTTTATGAATATTTTCTAAGAATTTCTTATCAGTGCACATCCACAGAGGAAGTTTTATGGAGAATTAGAGCCCCCAAACCCCCAGCCTGATTTTCCTAAGATTTGCCTCTAGCCCACTCACTTCCTGCTAGTTGTCTTCTTTTCAGTCTGTCAGTTGAAAATTAGGGACAGCAAGCACAGATAGCCTTTACTGAATTCCACATGTGAACTGTAACATGTTTTTAAACCACATGCATATGTAATTATTATAATTTTTCTCAGCATTTTATGCAGAATATTTAATTTTTTATTCAAATTTCATGTTATATTCTGTTTGGTTTTTTAGTACAGAATGGCTAAAATAAATGTACTGTATTTTCATAGACAGTCAAGTGGAGAGGTTAGCATTGATGGAGAGAGTCTTTCCAGATCTAAGGTTGTTCTGTGCCAGGAATGATTATGAGCTAAATGTTGTGGATTTACATTGGGGAGTGCCAGGGGATTGTCTAGATGATCACAGCTTCAGAGATGTTTGCCTGGACACTTTGAGAGAGCTTAAAAAAAGAGGAAAACTCATAGTTTTGGTAAGTTCTGTTATATCTAATCATTTATTAATTCAAGTTTTAGGCAGTTTAGTCTGTAAAGTTCTCAAAACATAATCTTTAATTTTTAGTCAGTGCATTATCATATAATCTTAATTCATTTTTAGGCTGATTTTTTAAAGATAAAACTCATCAGCCAGTAAAATTTCACTTTCTTTCTTCATTTTTTCCATTAATAGAAAAATTAGTGTATTTTTATAGTGCAAGTTTTTTAAACATTCACTTAGAATTTTTAATTATATAAGGTTATTCAAGGTTTTATATAACACCAGCATCATTTTACTTTCTCATTGAAACAGAACAGTGAATTGATATATGAAAAGCACTATATCAATTCTGATGTGTTTGTTTATTTTAGATATTAATGTATTTTTCTGATAATATATTTTGTTGAATAAAAATCAGTAAAACTTAGATGTTGATATTTGTTACAGATTTTCTTGAATGAACAACTAGAGTGCTCAAATTTGCCTAGAAATATTGTCAGTTCAGATTTTGAGTTCATCAGCAAAAATGTCCAATCTTCTGAGGACAAAGAGTTATTATATAAGTGGTATCTCATCAATGAGAATATAGTACCACCCTGTTATTTACTGCAGCCAATCAGTGACTATCTTCCAGGAATAATTAGCGACTGTCACAACAAACGGCAAGAAGCTATAGACCAATGGAGAAAAGAATCCAAAGAAATGATAGAAGTACTAAAGTCTGTGATGACTGATGAACAGAAGATTAAGTATATGCAGTCAGGTTGTATGTTATTCAAGTGCACTGATATCTTACAGGTAGTTATAAGTATTTTCAAAAATGTAGGTTCAGGGAATGTTAAGTAGAGAATAAATTGAACTTGAACAGTAAAGAAAAACAAGTGAACAATTAAAACTAATCTTTATTCACAATGACACTTATAAGTGTGTTTGTAAACTAAAGCGCACTCAGCAGAATCTCTGAAAAACGTTGATAAAGTAGGCATGCTGAAAGCAGAGATGAAGCAGTACTTTTCATAAAGTAAAGCTGCTTACAAGTGAGATCAGCAAGCTAAAACCTCACTAGCCATTATTACTTTAGGTACCAATTCTAACTTTTTCGTGTTCAAATATCTTAATCGTCTAAGTCTATTTTTTAATAAAACAAATGCTTGTTCAATCACAATTCGCATGGAACTGACCTGCAAATTAAATTGCTTTTGCTGCATTGTCATATTTCCATTATCTTTGTATGGCACCATTAGAAAGGAATGTAATGCGTAGCCACTGTCTCCAAATAAATGAACATTTATAGCTGATGATGAGACAAGCTGTGTAAATACTGAGCTATTTTTTCACACCTGTGCATCACTGGATGATCCTGGCCAGCCTGCAAACACATTCAGAAACTTAAATTTGAAGTCATAAACTGATATAAAATCACAGAGTAAAACCCCTTCCTGTTAAAATAACTGATTGGATCTCTTCTTACTTTGCTGATTTGGATATGTGAGCCATCAATACAGCCAAACACTCCAGGAAACGAATTATTTCCACACAAAATGTTAAAGTCTGTAACAATATTTTCAGTGTCCTTTCCAGATGGTCACTTAATATACTGATTTGTCAGGTCACATTAATTATTGCAGAATAACTACTATTTCAAACAAGTGACCTTTTGACACATCAAAGTGATCTGAAACACGTCAGTATGAAAATGTCCGTAAAATTGCTAAAACATTTTTTTTCTGTTGTGACTCTAGGCCTTCCTACAGTACTGCAAGGCTTTCTTATGACCATAAGTTTAATTACTTTCTGCAATTAAAAACTAAAACATGTTAACAAGCCTACCAACGATATATACATAAAAGAAATTAACAAACCCACAGAAAATATGCCTTTATTTTTTGTTACTCAAAATCTATGAGTGAATGATGACATACTGCAACCAAAATGAACCATATGATAGAACATATAATGTACTAAAAATTACACTTGTGCCATTTTAATGAGGCATTTAAATATGCTATTAAAAATAGATTCCATTAATGACAGTGCATTAGCTTGCTTTTAAGACAAGCTAATTACCATTCACATACCACCTTTGTTGAACTCACTAAATCACTAGTTAAATGATCTAAATTCTGAATCACTGAAATATATATAGAAAGCAGCAGCATTCACCTCAGACTAGTAAACTAATAGTAATAATACAACCAGTCACACTCGGGAATCCTGTAAACATTTAATGCTAGGGTTGTCTTAACGTGGAAAAACATCATATTTCAAATTTTCTCTCCGGAAAGAGGTTTAAAATTAGACAATAAAAATGTTGGTGATTCTGAAGCTACTGTAAACTTAGGCCTACCTCAACTGTAGACTTCTCAATCTAAAATTACTTTGGAAAGCATCATCATATACTGTGGCACTGTCTTCTTCACATAATCCTTCACTTTGGCTCTGTCAGTTTTACCAACATTGCTGTAGTGCAACACAACACAGGCAGCAATATCCTTATTATTATCCAAGTTTTTTGAATCATATAAGTCACAATGAACATCAGTCATAAGTGAAAGAACAGCTGTGCAAGCAGACACTAAAGTAACTATTTCACTTTCAGTTACATCATCTTGACTAAAGCAACTTTTGGTGGTCGTTCGGAAATAGCTTGCAAGCAGTGACATATTACTGCTAGCTAACTTCAAGCGATCCTTTGAGTGTGCTTTAGTTTACGAACACATCTTATGTTTAACACCAAACTGGCTGGTTTCTTACTTTTGCATACCATTTGTTTCCTAGTCCCTTATTTAGTATATCATTTTTTTAAATTTATGTACATTTTGAGTGCTTTGCCTTAATTCAGAAAATGGGTCAAGGGAGCTACTAAGTTTCTCTTGCCCTAGTTACTCATAGAACTAGGTCAGTGAATTAAATTGTAATATGTACTCTCTCTTGGAAAAGATTTCTATAACAATCAGCATACTGTATAGATATTGACAGTGATATTTCCTACTGGCAAGTCAGATGATACCCCAGGGATACAACATCCCATTTTTTAAAGAAAGGGTGACTGTTAATCATGTAAGTAGCAATTGCATCATGAGAAGAATGGCATTGTTGTTATTAGTTTATAATGTCATGCTTTTTTCAGTCTGGAACAACTTTTCAGCTTAACTTGAACTCAACTTAAAAACCTATTTTCTGAACTATATAACATCTCTTTTTAGTAAAAGCACCATACTTTACTCTTGTCTTAATTTTGGTTCTGTTTGAAATAAAGATTGATTCCTTGTGTTCAACTCGATTCCAATCTATTTCTTTGCATAAAACTCAGCAGAGGTCAGATATCTGTGCTGAAAACTATTTTTGGCAAGCCTCTCATTATTTTGCCCTAAAACTTGATGAGAAATCAGTGAACCAAGTTCAGAACTTGAAAGAAGAGTACTTTCAAGACACACAGATGAGTGGAACTAATTGCATAGGAAGGCATACCCTGCAATGGCTTCAGCAGATTACAGAGACATCCTTATCAATTAGTTCATTGAGGGTTTACCTAGTGAAATGATGAGTTGTCATTTGAGGGTGACAGATATTTTCACTCTTAACAAATATCATTTGTGTGGTGATAAGGTTTGAAGTCGTGACTTTGAAGAGGTCACAAGAGAGAAAAAAGCCTGCAACAGCTGTTGCAGTAGCTGTACCTCAAACAGTTTGCCATAATCAAGTGAGTACATCACTTTAATCTCAAGCTTCACTGAGGGTAAACCAGCAACCAGTGCATCCTAGCATTACAACACAATCATACTAGATCTCAGTAAGTGGGCAGGGTTTCCCATCATGTTTGTTCTGCAACTAATATTAGTGATACTTCTTACAGGGCATTGCTCCAGAAGTTAGGGCCAAAGTGTCTGCTTTGGGTGTGGGTAATAGGTCATTGTCACTTCAGAGTAAACTGTCATACTATGTTGCACATCAAAGAGTATATGCTAAGCTTCTATGTTGATTGCAGTAACTTGTATTGGTGCCTCCCTACTTCCATGGGCAAATAATTGTGTGAAAGCATTGTAAAGTGCCCAGTAGATCTGATTTTGGGAAGTTAAATTGTAAAACGAGAGTAGACACAAGGTGGCTCTCAGAACTCAAGGTGGTTTGCGTAAATTTACTGTCCTGCTATTTTGTGTAATGTTCCCACCACTTTTGAAGGGTTGATGGAGCTTAGTTGAAGGGGCTGCAATGGAAGAGATGTCTGGTCTTTGTCAGTAATGGCGTGGTGTTTGGTCATGTGTGTGTGTCTTTTGTTGACAACCTGTGTTTGGTATTGCAGCAGATAAGAATGGCAAGCATAAGGTTGAAACCAAGGGAGTGCTTTTTATGCAGATACAGTTGGAATTTCTTGATTATATTGTGTAACATGATAGAGTCTCTACTGGTCTTAAAAAGATTGCAGCAGTTCGAGTTTGGCTTCAACCCTTGACTAAACAGGAAGTCTATAGTGACCTTGGTTTCTTATTGCATTACTGATAGTTAGTGGCTAGCTTTTCCGAGATTGTTGCACCATTATCTGCTCTCACTAAAGCTAATTCACATTTTAGATGGACCAAACAATGTGAGAAAGCATTCTTATTTCTAAAATATGATTTAATGGAATTCCCCATGCTAAGGTATCCATTACAGGAAAGTGAGTTCCTGTTTGATATTAATCTCAGCAACAGTAGAATTGGAGCAGTGTTATAACAGTTGCACTTACAAATGGAATATGTGTTAGCATATGTGAATAATATGCTCCCTGCTTCTGAATGCTTGTACTGCATGATAAAGAAATAACTGCTTGCTCTTATGAAACATTACATCACTACATCTATGGTAGAAAGTTCACTCACTGGTTGGGTTGTGTGTCACTAAAGGGGCTTATGTACTTTAAAATCCAGAATGGATGAATGCATGTTAGAGTACAACATTGCAGGATTATGCCTCTTATGTGACATTGTCCAAGTCTGAAACATTGAAACAATGATGAATTGTCTTGTCATAACCAGGGTTTTCCATTCATTGAATGACTTAATCCTGGACACAGTGTTGGCCATTTCTTCAATAGTGATGTAAATCCATATGGTAGAAGATTCCATGACTGACATTAAGAAGCTCTTAGAAGTGCAACTGAAGGACCCAGAATTAGTATAAGCACTCGTTGCTGTACAGCAAGGTGAAAGATGACCAACACAAGTCAAGGAATATAGCACAGATGCACATAACCTGTGACACTTGTGTGCATCTGTGGGTGCAGAAGGCATGCTGTACCTTTATTATAAACCACTGAAACATGATTTTGAGCCTGGGTTGCAGCTAGTAGTCCTCAGGGCTCTGAGGCAGGAAATTATTCAGACTGGGCATAATGCAAGGGCTGGAGGTTACCAAAGAGTTATACACATTAGTTGTACCATGTAACCCAAAATTTACTGGCTACATTTGACTTGAGTCATTAAGTACTGGTGTCAACACTACACCATGTGTGCTGACCAGAGGAAAAGCTGGCCTAGCATGGGTAAACTCTTGCAGGGAAGTGTTGGTTCCCCTTTATATAGAATATCCCTGGATATTGCTGATACTCTTGTGGAACAAGGTAATTCGTATGTGTTGCTCATTATCAATTACTCCACTAGGTACTCAAGGCTTTTCCTTTGGTCAGTACCTCGGCACATTCCATAGCTAATGTGTTGATATAACACTGGATTGCTGAATTTAACACACCCTAGAAAATTCTCACAGATTAGAGAATTCATTTCATTAGCCATCTATTTTCTGAGTTGTGCAAAGTATTGGGTGTGATGAAGACATGCACTTTCCTTTATCACCCCAAGTCCAATGAA